ACACCCAATCACACCATTGATTTCACAAGTGATCTATCACACCCAATCACATCATTGATTTCACAAGTGATCTATTACACCCAATCACACCATTGATTTCACAAGTGATCTATCACACCCAATCACATCATTGATTTCACAAGTGATCTATTACACCCAATCCATGTACCTATTTTACATTTTCCCACTTGTCCATCTTCTACAATAGTAACACTACCTGCTGGTTTGGAATGCGATGGTGAGAGTGATGGCGCTGAACGGTCTTTCTTTAGTACTGATCTTGGGGGACCTAAAAAATGAAAATTTATAAATTTATTGTTATCCGCTGGGTATTCTCTAAGATTTTATCAGAAGGCAGGCAGCTTATGAGGCATTAATAACATAAGTAGACATTGACAGTTAATTAGATAGCAGCTGACTTCTAAGCAAATTCCAGGTTACCCTACAGTACAAATTTCAACATTCAAGTGGTAAAGTGAAAACAAAAATCAAGCAGTAAATCACATACATAGAATACAGTTCTTGGAAAGTTATTGGTTTTTGTAATGTGATGTACTAGAAACATTACAACTTTCCCATTATTGTTTATAGGACTGATTTGTTTGGCTACATGTAAAACTAGAAACTTGTGTTTAGAGGTTCTGTCTGACACATTTATATACAAAAGCGCATCAATTTATTTTCCTTGATTTTGATCGAAAAACATCCGTTTTTGTCCCAAAAGTCATCAATGGTTTCTCAGGTGTGCCTGGGTTCATTTCATTGAAATTTGAATTTAAGATCAATAGTTGTGGGTACAAATTATTTGAAGGGCATCATTTTATTTGGTCTTATTTTTTATTTCAATTAATGATTTCATGTTCTTGCAATTTTATTACAACACAATGACATCCTCCTCCTTGTTTCCTCAAATGCAAATTAACCCAAATACTGACAAAAACTATCAATTTTTGGAAATCTTAATTAGGAAGTTAAAAAATACATATTTCAAATGATAATCTTTAATTACCATAATTTTTCTCAAATAATTACATCCCCATACAAAAAAAAATGTAAGAGCAATATATGTTTGGCTATTTGTTATATTTATGTTAATATAGACATACTTTTTGAATTATTCAATACTGCAAAGTGTAGATCTGATCTTTCAGATTTCTTTAATCAAGACTACCGGTAATGTAATTTATAAATGACAGATCTAATATTATCTACTGTTTATTTAATGTGTAATTTAAGCACTACTAAAATAATTACATATTCATTTGCAAGAAAATTAATTAAAATGTTGAGACAATGTGCCACTTTTTTCCATTTATTTTATTTACAAATTGTAACTTTTTAAATAATCTGAACATATCGCATTGTGCAACCCCTTTGTATAGTCAGTACTTAATATTTTATTGAATAATCTTTGCGAATTCTGCACTTGTTAAATTGTTGAGACATCACATTTCTAATTTAATATTTTTTAAATTGACAAGATTTGTAGTGACTTGCATATTTTAAATTGTCGGGACGTCATAGTTTAACGTGTGATATTTTTTCCAATTGCTTGAAACTAATATTTTCATTCAAATTGTCGTCCACATCATATCATGTGTAAATTATTTAATTCAAAGTACAAATTTAGTGAACAATCTGTCTGTCTGTATGACTTGAGCGCCAAAAAACGCATTTTTAAAGATTTTCATGACATCATGTTTTAATTACGTAATCTGTTATGACAAATGTACTGTTTAAATTATCAGAACTCTCTTTCAATGCATGATTATTCAGATTTCGAATAACTATTTAATTTGTATGAATATAAATCAAAGAAAGCTTGGAAAGAACTCCTGTATGCTGATAGTATTGGATACACATTAATTGGGTCTCTGCATAGTTTTAGGTTCATTGAAATGTGATGATTACTACTTGAAATATCAAAAGCTGAAAATTAATTAATTATGAAAATTAGGTAATTATTATGTACTGATATTACCCTAAAAACTATCAGGTCTGTGCAGTGTCCTGTGACATCTATGCACCAAGTTTTATTGAAATATGATGATTAGTACTTGAGATATCAGTGGAAAGGCGAAAATTTACTAATCATTATGCAAATTAGATCATTAAGATGCATGTTTTTTTACCGAAAACACATATGTACCAAGTTTCATCAAAATCCAATGAATGGTTCTTTAGATATCAGTGGAACAGTCATGAAACAGCAAAAATATAGCTAAATATCATGCGAATTAGGTTATTAATATGCATAGATTTTTACTAAAACCTGATAAAATTGGCCCAGAGCATCTATGCACCAAGTTTCATCAAAAACCGATGTATGATTTTTGAGATATCAGTGGAACAGACGGACACACATACACACACATATCATACAGGAGTCCAAAATTCATAATTGTTGTCATCTCAGTCATGTAAGCATGTGTGTTAATATTACATCTCTGAATGTAAACAATACATATGTTTTAGGAGGTATTGTCAGCTAGGTGCAGGTGTTGCATACTTTGTTTTCTCTGTGAGGCACTGCTGGAGGTGGTTTTTCTGATAGGTATATCAGTGGCATCAGACCAGGTAGATCTTTTCAGTGATGGACTTCCTTTCTTTGGCAGAGCATAGATATTAGTAGATCTGTGTCGATAGTTCCGATAATTCTCATCCAAGTTCTGTGAGTGAGAAGAAACAAAAAATTGAATTTGACTACACTGCTGGTGATAGCTCCAATATGAGACCATGTGACAGTTGTGATGTTACATTGTACCATACTACCATAGTAGATATATTTACTGACATTTTTTAGATCTGTGTTTTCAGTTACATTGAATACTCTCACAGTATAAAGCCATCTTTTTATATTAATTTCATTTTTTACAAATTTTCCAAATCTTTTTTAATTACATATCTGTATCTGCTTTTACTTATTAGTAGTACATGTGCTTACATAAATAACATGGATGTAATCTATTGTCAAATAAAATCATTGTTTAATAATTGTGTATACAATAAACACACTAGTTGGTTTATGTGCACTTCTATTTTTCTATTTGAGATGGCCTTCTAATAATTAACATCATATATTAACAATTGCAATTACTAAAACTTACCTGAAAATAAATGATAAATTATTAAAAATAAAATATATTGAAAAATAATAATTAGATATGTTTTAATTAAAGAGCAGTGCCCTTAAAAAAAGGGAAAAAAACAAAACAATAGCCTAAAGAGTTTGTAATGTGTAATTCTTTACTTTTACTTCCTTTATCTTTAGAAACACAAATCAATATATCTATCACTTCTTTAACCCAATAAAAAAAAAATACACACACAACCCTAACACAGAGGGCAGTATAACTGGATACTAAACTGAAATATTTTATCAACTCACCTCCGCTTCCATCTCTAGATTTTGAAACCTTGCTTTAGTTTCAGCCAGGAATTTATCTAAAGCCAGATCAGGAGAAGCACTGCGGGGTCGTTCCCTTGGTGTGGCTAAGTCCAGTGACGCATCAGTGCGGGGTCGTTCTCTTGGTGTGGCTAAGTCCAGTGACGCATCAGGTGACACATATTTAAACCCTGTATCAGCACACAGATCTATAGAATCCAAGTCATCAAGCTGTCCAGCATTTCTAGACAGCGGTTTGGATGCGTAAAAACTGAAACAGATAAAAAAAGACATGTTGGTTGAAAGACACTTCAAGTAAGGGTCACTTACCATTGATATAGTGCAGTGCAGTGCAGAACACAGTTTGCAATATTATATATAGCAGTCTGAATCTGAGCATATGAAAACATGTGGAAGGACTTGTATCACTGGTTCAAACACAATGCCCGTATTCAAGCAGTAACATTTTCATTATATATCTCATAGACACTGTGTTTACTCTATAAAACAGACACAGACATCAACAGCTGCCAAAATCCAGCCAAATTTTGATGATGGTCACCATCTTGAAAAAAATGTCACTCTCTAATTCAAGAATATCACATAAAAGCATAATATGGTATTGACTAATGTTGAATTCTGTCGACTCAATCTAGTCTTCCAATAGAACCTAAATAATTTCACTTCATACAGTTGATTCAAGCCCCACGGTTCACAGCATACACTAATATTTGGCAGAACCTTTCAATCAAATCAAAGATATACAATGATAACCCACCTATCTGGCACCGATTTTGGATTCCTGTAAACTTCATTACTAAGTGCTTTCTGTGTTTCCCGCAGTGTTGCTCTTAAGTCAGTAATTTCCTCATTCATTTGGTTCATTTGTCGGGTCTGCTCTTCGACCTCTCGTTTCAGATCACGACATTTCTCAGTCTAAAAAAAGTTACGAGACGTTACTGATATTCGATTGAAGCAGTAACTGGGTGTATTAATTTACAACCCAAAAAATACAATCATGTTCACATATCTTAAGCTATTCAACTTTCTTCATTTTGCTAATAACATGGACTGCATTTCATGCTTTGTAGTGAGTTGACCTATGACCTGGTGGATCCTGGATGTTATTATTACATTAACCACTACACAAAGAAGGTAATGAAGAAGCAATCATCAAGAAATTGGTCTAATTGACTTTTGAGAAACTTACCAAAGCTATTTACCACACACATCACAATATCTGAGGCTCTTATACTAAAAACGTACTAATCTTGACAAAGTAACATGTCACAATACCGATATATGTAATTTGGGGAATTACAAAAGCTGACATAAAACCAAGTTTATTTGTACTGTAATTTTGAATTCATGTTTTTTACCAATCGTGAGTAAAAATTACGTTTGTGGCACCAAATGAATTCATTTCCAGCAACATGCATGCTATCAGTATAAATGTAGTCTACATTTAAAATACACATATGGGCATTTCATATGGATTTAAGAAATGTTGAAAAAACAATACGTTTCAGTCGAAATGCACTTCAGTTAACCTTCCACCGTTCAAGCACAAAGTCACTATTCAGGGAAAAACATGCTTACTTTTCATATTTCTTTGACATTTTAATTTTATGTGCACTAGAATAAATGCATCTGTTATGGTATTCACAATAGCTGAACATCACCAATCAGATCAGCAGATTAATTTTGAGATTGAGATTAAGTATTGCACACATTATTTTTTGTTTTTTTAACTTTGAATGTCACTGTTGTCTCTCCTGACTTTTTTGTAAGTGCAAATTGCAAGTGCAAGTGCTGACACATAGTGCATTTCGCCACAGAAGTCATTTCCTGTTTGGGACTACATGTATTGCACACATGGTATTTTCTGTTCGACCATCCAAGATGGTGGAATCCCTGTTCGCTCTGGCCAGGACGTTGGCAGCCCGCTCAGATAAAGCTTTCGTATGTGCGGGTCTACTGAGAGCCTCTGTGCGTGATACCCCTTGGGCTCGATGGTAGTGCGCCGTCTGGTTGGGATGGTAGGTCCGGTAAGTCCGGAAGCACTACTGGTGTTTCGACTAGCATTTCCGACAGAAGTGAAAACTAAGCCTTGCTTGGCCAATTGGGTGCGACCAATAATAATATGCAGGTGTGCACCTGTCGCCAGTTTTCTCCGGTGCCCAGTGAACTAGCGGGAAGGGAGGAAAGGCGTACACAACTCAGTGGGTCCACGGGGTTAGGAAAGCGACCCTGGCCTAAGCTCCTGGAGTCGGCAGGAGTGTTACGTACGTCGGGAGCTTGGCATTCCATGGTGCGGCAAACCGGTCTATGATATGATAGTCCCGAAACTAATGCGGGCCATATCCTTGGGCTTGCTCGTCCAATAGATGCGCTCCCCTACCTTGGGAGGAGGCATCTGTTACCAGAGTTGTAGCTGTGGCGAGTGGATCCAAGGGGACCCCCTGTCCGAGGTTGGCCAGTGACGACCACCAGGGCAGGGCTTCATTCACTTGGTCCGAGATCAAAACCTGCCTATCTAGTTCCCATAGGAGAGCTTGGCGTTATAACAAGCGTTATACTGGGCGGTTGCGTAGTGCGGCCTGGGGAACGACCCTTCGAATCGAGGTCATCATTTCGATGATCTGCATTAGTTCTCAGAGGGACACTGAGGGAATGCTGACTAGGCGTTTGGCTAGGCTGCTTAGCACTAAGTAACAGGCTTGAAATGGCTATACCAAGCTTACCTCTGTGTCAAAACTCCATGCCCAGGGACACCAACTGCACGTTGGGTCGAGATGGGACTTGTCGATTTACTAACGAGCCCAACTGGTGAAGTAAATCCTGTGTTAGCCTGACGTGTTTGGTTATTAACCCATTGTCCGGGTTGTGTAGTAACCAGTCGTCTAGGTACGGATTGAGGTGTACCGACATTTGGTGAAGCAGCAGCACTACCTATTTCATCACTCTGGTGAACACGTAGAGTGCTGTGCATAACCCGAACAGGGGGCACCCGAAATTTGAATACTTGGCCCAGCTGGGCGATTCGAAGAAGATGGCAACTCACTGGGTGCATTGGTAGGTAGGCTCCGCTTAAGTCTAGTGGGGCTAGCCAGTCGAAACGGTGGATGGAGAGAAGAACCCAGAATGGCGTCTCCATGTGGAACCGATCGAGGAGCACGTACTGATTCAGTCTGCCTAGGTCCAGAAGTGGACGCCTACCACTTGTAGATTTAGTACTACGAACATATTTGGGTAGAGGCCTGATCTACCCTGTGTATGGCGCCTTTTCCCAGCAAACTACTACTTCCTGCCTGATTGCTTCCGCCTTGCGGGAGTCCTCTGGCAGTGCCCAATAGGGGAGACACTGACGAGGGAGATGGAGATTTCAGCGGTATCCAGTAACAGGATGTCACCACCTGGAAAGGTCCAGGGAACGGTCACCTGTTGTGTCCAAACCGGACTACACCGGCCCAATCTGTGTACGACAGGGATATGTGGCCATGGGTTCGGCAGTTGCGAGGGGGGTGCTCTCTTCTCCCATGAGGTGAGTTTCCCAAGGCCTGAAGTAGTCACTAAGTTGTGACCTGGCCACTCGCTGAACACATGCCTGTCCCCCCGGTTGTAGAGCATCAAAACACGCTTCCCCTGCTGCCGGGGTAGACGAGCCACCACCTGGCTCTTTCCTCCCTGGGGGGGGGGGACTACTCTTTCCTCCCATGGAAGGGTATGAGCGCTTGCCTCCTGGTCGACTCTGGCTAGCAGACGACGCCCTAGGGCATTGTGTTTTCTGTGCTTTGGGTGCCCTTCGCTTACCCTTGGCAGGATCAACTGGCTAGCGGATTCGATCTGAACCCTCTGGTTCATTGCACTCCAAAGCTCCGAGACTGTACCCACCATTCCCTGAACAAAGAGGGTGGAGGATGTCCAGTCTGCGTCACTGAGTTGGGGACGTACCCCCTGGCGAAAACACATGCATCTAAGGCCGCATCTCATTGCGCAGTAGTGGCCCCAGCCAAGAGAGACAGGTGACACTAGGGGATGTCGCATGTAGATGTGCGATGGCCCACCAATAAATGTGTCGTCTGGTCTAGGAGGCTGGTGCGTTCTGCCTCCAAGGTCTCAGAGTCCCGGGCGCGCACAGTAATGCGCTCAAGCAACTCTGCCCTCAGGGCGTGACGGATCGTCTCAGATTGAGCTGGCGAGAACGCCCATGGAACGCGACTGTCCCCCTTTACCCGGTCTGCCGAACAGAAATTCGTGGTACCGGGGTCTGGGGGAAGGAGCCTTGGGATCCGGTTGGGGGTATTTTGGTCTCATCCCACACTTTGGGGACTGATCCCGGAACCACACCGACCGGGTAGCGTTTGGTCCAGCGGAAAGTGTTGCACAAGATTTTACCCCACTCGGGGGCCTTAAGCGTTAAGGGTCGGTTCTCTCTGGGGACGCCCGTGGGTTCGTAAGAAGGGAGTCAAAACCCACAGCGGAGACCGGACACAAGGGTAAATTCGTTACCACTGTACCATTACCGCGCGACAAACCCTGGCTGGCTGAAAGTAGGGGGGTCAACATGTGCCCTGCCCTGAAAGCCCTACCCCGCGATCAGAGGCTTGGCTGCCAGCACCCTGTTGGCATTCAGTGCCCGAGGCTCCAGAGGAGGCCCTGTGCAATTAGCCTGAGCCACGGCCTGACCCAAATTAGTGGCAGTAAACGGAGGTTTCCCGGAAGAGACGTGTCTGAATGCAAACATGCTTTTGTGTTTCTTCCTGCTTGCCCACCGGGGGCCGCAGTGGAGACAGCTCGCTCCGACTGAGTCTGATCTACCCGGCCTGCCAGGGACACAATTTGCCCCGACAGTCCTTCGATCAAAGCTCTAAACTCGGACGCAAACCCAGCGCCGTGTGAGGAAGGATCCATAAAGGGACCCACAACAGGCCCCATAGAAGGAAAAAAACCTCCAGGGGCACAGCCTCGCTGTAGCCGGTAAAATGGGTAAACCACCGCCTGAAAACAAAGACTGTGAGGATGCCCTCCGATCAGCAAGGGAGACCGAAAAAATATCGGTACCTCCACTGTCGGGCCTCCTACTCAATGTCCCGGTACGCGAAGCACCGGTAGCTGAGTGTGAAGACTTTCCACTCATGCCAAACACGCAACTCACTTTGACCAACTTTTTACCAGATGCGCGACCTTGCTGTGAAAAAACGAGCAACGTGGTCATTCTCAGTGATTTTGATGGCTCTGAAAAACAACCCACGCTAGAAACCAGGACAGGAAAAAAGCAAGCGCTCCAGGCAGAGCTCGAGAGATTTCATCTCCATTTGAGGCGGAGAAAACAGAGTGATTGTCCAGCTGTTAATGGCGCTGCCATATGGCCTCGGTTACGTAGTTCATGACGTAAGGGAAGTGAATCTTGGGGTCATGGGGCTTCCCCTGACCTAGATTCTATCTCTCTGTCACCGGCAGAATCGCTGATTAATGCCTACAGTTCAAAATAGTCATTTTGACTGGGAGGAGTCTATGGTGGGTAATTGAACGTAGTGAATTTTTAATGCAAGCATGTAAAGCAATTTTCATTAGAATTAGTTGGAGATGCACGCCAGGCTCTTGAACACATATTTTACTAATGTAATGTGTGTGAGTAAGCATTACGTATTTTACTAATGTAATGTGTGTGAGTAAGCATTACGTATTTTACTAATGTAATGTGTGTGAGTAAGCATTACATATTTTACTAATGTAATGTGTGTGAGTAAGCATTACATATTTTACTAATGTAATGTGCGAGTAAGCATTACGTATTTTACTAATGTAATGTGTGTGAGTAAGCATTACGTATTTTACTAATGTAATGTGTGTGAGTAAGCATTACATAATTTAGTAATGTAATGTGTGTGAGTGAGCATTACATATTTTACTAATGTAATGTAATGTGTGTGAGTGAGCATTACGTATTTTACTAATGTAATGTGTGTGAGTAAGCATTACATAATTTAGTAAATGTAATGTGTGTGAGTAAGCATTACGTAATTTACTAATGTAATGTGTGTGAGTAAGCATTACGTAATTTACTAATGTAATGTGTGTGAGTAAGCATTACGTAATTTACTAATGTAATGTGTGTGAGTAAGCATTACGTAATTTACTAATGTAATGTGTGTGAGTAAGCATTACGTATTTTACTAAATGTAATGTGTGTGAGTAAGCATTACATAATTTAGTAAATGTAATGTGTGTGAGTAAGCATTACGTAATTTACTAATGTAATGTGTGTGAGTAAGCATTACATAATTTAGTAAATGTAATGTGTGTGAGTAAGCATTACGTAATTTACTAATAAAATGTGTGTGAGTAAGCATTACGTATTTTACTAATGTAATGTGTGTGAGTAAGCATTACATAATTTACTAATGTAATGTGTGTGAGTAAGCATTACATAATTTAGTAAATGTAATGTGTGTGAATAAGCATTACATAATTTACTAATGTAATGTGTGTGAGTAAGCATTACGTAATTTACTAATAAAATGTGTGTGAGTAAGCATTACGTATTTTACTAATGTAATGTGTGTGAGTAAGCATTACATAATTTACTAATGTAATGTGTGTGAGTAAGCATTACGTATTTTACTAATGTAATGTGTGTGAGTAAGCATTACGTATTTCCTCAGTCAGTTTAGCAGATTTGCTAACAATACAACTCTAAAATAATGACAAACTTGCCTCTTCATGGAGTTTTGAATTAAGATGAGTTTCTTTTTGTCTCAACATTGTTTCTTCATCTTTAAGTCTATCCCGTGTCCTGTTCAGCTCCACTTGCAGTGTAACCATTTCTGGTGTGGGTTTAGTCAGTCTCTCTCTCAGCTCTCGCAATTGCTCCTCATATTCTAAATTGACAGATATCAATAATAAGTTCATTTTAATAAATTGAATATTTTCCATAAATTATCTGTTGAAGTAAAGCATTCACATGAAATAAAATTTGATATATTTAGATGACATATCATTTAACAGAATCTACATGTAAACCACTGTCAGTTTCCATTCTGAGATGTAAACCACTGTCAGTTTCTATTCTGAAATGTAAACCACTGTCAGTTTCATTCTGAGATGTAAACCACTGTCAGTTTCCGTTCTGAGATGTAAACCACTGTCAGTTCCCGTTCTGAGATGTAAACCACTGTCAGTTTCCATTCTGAGAGCATTCATAACGATTTATTGCAAACTAATATCCTAAATATTTGCTGAGATGAATTTGTAACAACTGAGAAATATTTGACAATTTGCCAAAATTCACAGGCCACAATAAAATGAAAAGCTAAATTGGTTACCAACATTCAGACACATTGAAAAGCAATGAAAATGTTGAATACATTTCACAATTTACATAATTTCAGAATTCCATCATTGTACATGACATAATAATCTTCTCAGAACAAACAACTTACTTGTCCTATCAATCTTGAGTTCATGTTTGACTTCAGTCAATGCACTAAAAGAAAAACAAAAATTGAGAACTATCAGTTTAGGTTTTTCCCCAAGCACATAAACCAATGGCATCATCACACAATATGCAAATTTCATGTAAATAAACAATAAATTGGGTACTGTACAAACGTTACATACCGGTCCATCCTATAGATCTACATCGAACATGATACGACAAATTTTAACTAAAAATTGTCTACAATTCTTCATCAATTAGTTCACTAATACTGCATGTTTTGAACAAGATAACAGGGTTGTTCTAAATCATCTTCCTATCTAGCGATTTACTGTGCTACCAAGATAGCAGTGGATTTGACCTCCATTTGAGTCTGTGACACACTCACCCAGGGTACAGTGGATTAGACCTCGCCCTCAAGTCTGTGGCACACTCACCCAGGGTACAGTGGATTTGACCTCATTGAGTTTATGACACACTCACCCAGGGTACAGTGGATTAGACCTCGCCCTCAAGTCTGTGGCACACTCACCCAGGGTACAGTGGATTTGACCTCATTGAGTTTATGACACACTCACCCAGGGTACAGTGGATTAGACCTCGCCCTCAAGTCTGTGGCACACTCACCCAGGGTACAGTGGATTTACCCTTCCCATTGAGTCTATGACACACTCACCCAGGGTACAGTGGATTTGACCTCCCCATTGAGTCTATGACACACTCACCCAGGGTACAGTGGATTTGACCTCCATTTGAGTCTGTGACACACTCACCCAGGGTACAGTGTATTTGACCTCTACTTGAGTCTGTGACAAACTCAACCAGGGTGGGTTATCCACTTTTTAAGATTTTAACTTGAGCCTCAATACTGAGGCTGCACAAAAACCAAATGACTAAACGTAATCAGCTAGTTTTGGAAATTTAAACACAAAAAATTTAATAAGTGATGACTATGGACAGCTTCATAAACAAGTACATACAAGGTATAAACTGTGTCAATTTTACTCACGTTTTTGTATTATGCAATTCTCTCCTCAGTACGGCTGCTTCTTCTTTCACCGAAGGGTAATCTGCCATCTCACGTAGTTTATCACTCATGATATCGTTGTGTTTGGTCATATCTAGAGTATCTTTTTTTAATTTCTGAAGTTCAATCTATAACATAAGACACATTTTACTGATAACTATTCATTATATTTTCCTTACGACATTTTTCATTTCTTTTATATTTCAGACTAGTAGCTTCGCGGTGAGTGACTTTTGCGGTAAGTGGGTTTCATATCTGGTGGGTTTCGAGGGGAGTAGGGCTTTGTCTCAGTAACTGGTCTTTTCATCCTTGTTGAGAATTGAAGTTTTATGTTTCTTCAACAACTGGCACTATTCTGGGAATACCATCCTGGCAGGAGTTCCAAAATAGGACCCATGCTCTGATAATGCCTCTAGTTTCAAAGACCAATAAACATTACCATTATGATCTTATTGGTGTTGCAAAGGATAGTTGAATATTGTTTATTGAAATTAATAATCCCCATAACTGTTTTCCAATATAGATAAATTGTAGTACGTAACAAACTGTATAACTCAGTCTCAACAATGAAATAAAGGAATGTATATATTTACATTATTACTAATGCATTGCAATACAACTAATTCAAATTGAAAGAAATTGCAATATAAAGTATTCCATCAGTAATACTTCTCAAAGGCGTATTTCGCGACCAGTGTTATTTATGAAAATATTTATAATTTTATAAACTTGCTTGGCAATACCCACCCCAATTAGATATAATGTATACATATTTTAATAAATAAAGATATACTAACAAAAATAAAATAATAATTATTTTATATTTTATTATATAACCTGCACAACAGTAATCAATATTTTCCTTGCTAGAATGATGTGTAACTTCATACGGGAACCCTGATAAAGTTCACAACTGGCGATTTAGCAATATTAGGGATTGTCAACTTCCCGTGAATTTGATTATCTAACATGTTTAGGTTCATGCGCTGCAAGTTGCAGAGCATGTACCTAAGCGGCCGTACCCCAGCAAACAATTAAGCCAAGGCGGTTTCGATATCAAAATCAAGAAACTCTCCAATTTGACACAATCTGGGAATTCGAATTACTAAATGAAGTACAGGACGACGAAGCTGAAATATCTAAGAACCAACACATACCAAAAATCTCAAAAGTGAATATTCGTGGTGTATTTTAATTCTAATCGGACCGGAAATGGGAATTTGTTAGTACTCTAAAAAACATACTAGCGATCCGTTAGGATTGCCCCAAAAATTGTGTGTGTGTGTGATTTCCATGTAGTTTTCACGTATTAATTCTTTTGTGATTTGTTTGGCTTGGCTGATTTTGCTCAAACGTGGCAGGTATGTCACATCTTCACCGTAGTTACTAGGAAAAATCTGGAAAAAAAATGTTGGCCCACCGATGCCATAGCAACAGCCAAAAAACTGATTTTTGAATAGCTTTGCGCCAAATGTATCTCCTTTTTCAAATTTAGGATAACACCTCAGACATAGCTCATTCTACTCAGCTTGAGTGTGGGCAAACATTCACTGTTTTTTTATGTACCGGTATATTTTCATTACCAAGAAAATTGACCTCAAAGTTGGGGTAACTTTTCACTTCACCAGCAACGGGCTCTGTGACTTTTTTGACTTGGCCGATTTTGTTCATATATAAACTTATTTTTGAAAACATTAGTCCCAAATTTATTACCTCCTACCAGTCTTGTAATAACAGTGTTCAAATGATCATGGTTTTTATTTTGGCTACATTGCGCATTGGTAAGAGATCACCGGCGCCGACATTGTTACACTGTATCACCGTAATTCTTAAAGTAACTTTGAACTTAAAATGAACTGTAAATGCTGCCTTCATTCTCGAAAATACTATCGAAAATGGTTGGAAATAATAAATGTAACAGCAGAATACGCCCTAGTAAGAAAATTAAAGTGACTTCTAAAGACTGAATGTTTTTTGCGAACTTCATATATGGGGTCCGGTTTTAGTTATAAACCGACGTTAGCTTCACGTTCATGTCCTACCATGGAAACAGCCAAAAACATGTTGCTTGTTTTTTGAGAGGAGCGGATCGCCAACCAGCCTACCGGCTGTTTTAGTATAAGTTAGTAACAACTTGTCAATAATTATGGGATGATTTGTAAGCATAATATTGTTATGAGAACTTCGTTCATTAATAGAATACTGTGCGATGTGCTATTTTCAGGGCCTACCTGATTCAGGCTCCAACCTACTTACTCGTCAGTGTCCAACTGTTATATACAGCCCAGAACACATCAGAATAGTAAAAAAAAGTCAGCAAATGTCAGTTGCCCGTGCCATGAGAGCCGGCCACATAGCCAAAACAATCTGTCAGCCTTCGCCGCCCACAGCATCGATATGATTTTACATTGCATAGAAATGAACACTAAATGCAGCCATCTCGAATCATCATCAATCTTCATGAGTGATGTAACTGGTATTTCCACATATTTGCTTAGTGGTCTGTAAGTGAATGTTGTCAAGTTCGAGAGTGTGTTTTAACGTACAGCGACGTAAGCATTATTGCTACAATTTTGGGCTTGAACATGTTCTATATTCACTCAAAACAACAACAAACCTGAAACAAAAGTAACCGTCCGATCTAAACGACCTGCGTCTATGAAAATCGAGTCTTATCTCCCTTGCGTTTCCGATCGACAGAAAGTCGGGGCCAATCTGCCATGATTGTTTGCTTATCATCAATTCACAAAGGTCAAAAATAAACGTGAATTTAACAACGAACGTTTTTGAAACGAATCAATGTAACTTTCGAACGCATTGTTATGCTAATTTGATTTCCGGCATATTAGTTGACAAAGAAATGAAAGATTTCTTGAATTTTCGACGATAGCTACGTGGATTTGAACCAAAATGTTATCGGCAAGACTCACAATGCGACAGTGGCAGCTACTGAAACGTAATTGAAGGCAAATGAATACGTCAAGCAAAAAAGACTTTTTCCAGTCATAGCGTAAAATGTACATGTACCATTTTGACTCTTGAGGAGAATGGAAATCAGTTGATTTGAGGGTGTCACAATAAGCGAGGGAGGAAATCATTTTTAAGCTACGAAAAAATTAAGACCTTGAACTTACTTTTTGGACTTTAGTACAACGTCATTTTTGTTTGATTACCTAACATTTTTAGGTTCATGTGCTGTAAGTTACAGAGCACATACCTAAGCGGCCGTCTCTCAGCAAATAATGAAGCAAAGACATTTTCAATGTCAAAATCGCGAAACTTTTTTACGCAAACTGGGAAGTTCGAATTACTAAACGAAGTACAGGAAGACGAAGCTTAGATATCCAAGAACTAACACATACCAAAAATTATATCTCAAAAGTGAATATTCGTGGTGTATTTTAAGTCTAACCGGACAATAAGTTGGAATTCTCTAGTACTCTAAATATCCAAATATATTTTAGTATAAGGTAGTAAAAAGCAAAAGGTATCATTGCTAGTTAACACTTTGACCTTTGATCTTTAATCTTTTGAA